TAGAAAGCCGATTTCGACTTTGGGTCCTTCCCTTGTAAGATGCCTCGCATGATTTTCGGAGTCATGAAATTTATAGACAGAGAGTTACGTGCAGAAGAAAGGGATAAAGTTCGAGAACTTTCAAGAACTATAATCATACAAAGTGCAAATAACAAACGTACAAACCCAATTACCTCGCAGGAAGACCAAAATCGTCTTGTTTCATGCGCTGCAGATAGTCCTTGAGATAGTCGTTCAGCAGCAAACCTCCATTAGCATTCTCATCAGGTTCTTCCACAAGACCCTCTGCATCATCATCTGAGAGCTTATTGTTCACGGCATCCGAATCATCAGAATCCGAGGTATCCCTGAAGGATGTATAGATTCAACAGAGACAAAACTCCGCATGGGAGCCATTAAAAAGACTATACTTATTTTAAAAAACTGTAAATATCGCTGACCGCACTGGAAAATAAATTATTGGCACACTGACCATGAAAGGTAAACATGAAATTTAGTTTCCGCGCAACCCTCTGCGGGCATAATAGCTTGACAATATTAGTAAAACAGCTCAAAAAATACATACATGCTCAGCCTTCCATTGCGCTCGCCTTCTTCGGAAATACTGAATCGTTCGAATTGAGCGCTCACCCTTTCGAATCTTCGTTTAGCGCGAGGAGCATCGCTATCGTCCTAAAAAACGCGAATACGACGATGTCAGAAGTAGGTCAAAAATTCAAAGCGATAAACGGTGAAGTTACCTCTCCATGCCTTTTCCCGAGCAGCTCATGAGGGTTATACGAAGAAGTGGAAGGCTTCTGAGAACCGAACATGTCACGAGTGAAGCAGATTGGCCGCTGTTCAGCAAGGGTCATGGCAGCATCGAATCTGCAAATTAACATAGATCTATATAGTATTTTTTGATTCAAGTCATACAGCGAGAAGAGAGCAACGACAAGAGGATTCTACAACTCGTGCACAGCATGTAGAGATTTGGTGATACCTTCAGAAGCGATGTTCTATGAATTTTTCGCGGCAAAGAGCTTGTTCCGGAAATCTGTACACATCTGAAAAGTCAAGAATACACCTCCAACTTGCAGGAAGTTGGCATGACATGAACTGAAGACACTATATTCCAAGCTTCATAAAAATATGCGCTTGTATCGCAAAGTAGATTTTCTGCTTTATATATGTAGTATGGATACAATGTAGTGTACTTGCCTACAGGTGAAATGCGGTAAAATTTGCGCGTGAA